TAGTCTCCATTCAGTGCATTCATTTTTGCTGGTGGATGAATTTTGTAATTCCACTCCAACCCTGTATGTTTTGGCCAGTACCTACACTTTCAGTAAGTCTTTCATATCTAATATGGTCAGTCTTGATGTTTCTGAGGTCAATAAGACATTTTAAAAAATTGAAAGTTTTAATAAGATTGTATGAAAAATGGTTTCAATTTCATGTCATTGAAATATCTCTCAAAGAAGGATAATGAATATAACAGGAAGTTCAAAGCAACTGGGTGTTGTTGAGCAAGAGGCTTCCTGGTTCAAACCAATGACTGTAGAAAAATACTACTTTTCTGCAGTCATTGGTTTGAACCAGCTGGCTGGTTGGGGCTTTTCTGTGTGTAGTCTCCATGTTTTCCTTGAACATGCATGTGATATCTCCTCACACAGTCCAAACGTGCTTTTTAGGTTAACTGGTGATTCTAAATTATTCATAGGATTTAGTGTGAATTGTTGTCTGTCTCTCTGTGATAGGCCTGCAATAGATGGACAAGCGGTCCAGAGTGTACGCTGCCTCTCACCCTATGACACTAGAGACCGAAACTAGTTATCAATTCAATAAGTTAACGCAGGATATTTCCTGTACGTTCACATGACACGTGAGACTTTACTATTAGAAAAATCTGAAGCGATTAAACACAAAATAGAGATGAAAAACAACACAGCTGCTGCAAGCAAATCAGTGGCATGAGTGCGTGTGAGAGGAAAAACATTGTACAGGAGTCTAGCATTAAAATACCCTCTCATAAGTTACCATGGCGATATGCTCCATAACAAGTGAACTATCTTCATAGTACAGGAAACTCAGGCTTAACCCTGAAATTATCAGGGTAAGATGAAATCTTGCTTCATAGTACAGGGACAGTACTGTTAGTTGGTGAGCCTATAGTCTTGCAGTCTTTGACAGCAGTAAACGAATCTTTTACTGCATTACCTTTTACATGTGCAGGTGTGTTTACATGTGTTTTTGTATGCGCACAATCTTTCTTTGCACTTACCACTCCTGCTGCGCAGCATCCTGGCTGAGACGCCGTTGACTCTCCCTGCACTGGGCGGACTGGCCGTGGCATTTTCCACCGAGCTCACCTCATTCCCCTGCTGTTTCAGCAGGTCTGTCAGCGTCCTGGAGACCAACACACACACACACACACACGCACACACACACACACACACACACACACACACACACACACACAGGTTAAAAACGGTGCTCAACTTATTTTATTTGATAAGCCAAGTTAGAGTACAATAGATATTAAATGTATGTGACTTCTTTTTGTGATATTTTATTAATGAAATGCTTATTTTTCTTTTACTACTACTCATCCAATCAATTACCCTGATGAAATCAAAAGAGAATTCTCAATAAAATATATTGATTACAAAAATTGGGGGCTTGTGTTTCATTACGATGTTGTTTTTTTTTTACAGGAAACAAAGACAAGCAATACTGTAAGAAAATTTAAGTACTGCGTCAGTAATTTAAAGGAAAGTTTAAGTAATTGTGGGTCATGCATAAATAAATGTATGTATTGCACAACTTCATGTATTTTACAGAAAAGAAGAAATAATGATATTTTAGGTGGTGCCTAAATTATGGAAATTATACAGCAAAGGAGACACAAATTATAATATGAGTAATTGTAAGCATTGTGTAATTTCATGGTAATATTTAATGTGCGATGTAAGTGGAAAAATATTTTGAAATATAATATAATAATGTTTTTCTGCTAAATGACCATGAAATTGCACACCACCCAAAATTACATATGCAGTATTTCTAGGTAAATATAATTTCATGGTAATTTCATTGAAAATACACTGAAATTCCATTTAATTACAGAGGAATTACACACTTGGTTGTGGGCTGTATTATGAAGTGTGACCAACAAACAATTTGAACCAAGCCACAAACATAGTGTTAAGTACATGTGTGCACAAATGACCATGGAAAAAACATTTTTCCCACTTTGTGTCAGGTCTCTCTGCATGTACATTATATAGCTAAAGATTTGTGTCAGATTGGGAGACATTAGATGCCGCAGCCTGTATTCTGACAAAGTTAACTGTTTGCATCTTGTTACATTTACTGTAGGAAATATGCTTATGTAATTGAGCCTGAGCAACATATTTTTATTTTCAGGCTAAATCTCAGCCAGCTGTATTGACTGGCGGCCTTTTTGCTGCTTGTCGTTTTTGCAATATGTTCACATTGAGACTTGGCTTGAGTTTGAGTGCAAGAAATGCTTCCAAACAAGTGTGAGTGCAAATGTTCATGGACACACACACACACACACACACACACACACACACACACACACACACACACA